TAGTTTCTTGAGATTTTTTTTTCTTATTCTTTTCACCTTTTTTTTTTACTTTTTTCTTTTTTCTTTTTTTTTTTTATTCAGAGACTTTTTTAACTTGGATTAAAACAATTGTTAATATAAATATTTAAAAACAAAAAAAGATATATATCCAAAAAAGAAAATATTAAGATTCTAAATCATTTCAAACATGGAATAGATATTGTTATTCTATAGCTTCTAATTGTTCACTTATGATTTTTTTTATTATTATTTTCATAGCTTATATCACAATATTTAATATTATAATTGATATTTTTATGGCTGATATCTTCATGGCTAATATTATAATTAAATAGGCAATTCACCTAAGACCTGGACTAAAATTTTTTTTTATATATAAATTTTACTATAAGTATAAATGTGCAGCGCCCCTATCTAAAACTTTTTTTTACTAAGTAAATTATTCTTAGGCTTTTACCAAAAATTGTAAAGCTCATCAAGATGCATTTAATAATGTAAAAATATTAAAATTAGCCTAAATGTTCTTGAGTAATCTTTAAAAAACTTCTTTTTTATATATAAAATTTCTTTAAAAAAAATTAATTTTTTTTTAAAGAAAGTTTATATATAAAAAAGAAGTTTTTTAAAGATTTCTCATAAACTACCAAGCCAATTTTAATGTTCTTTTACTATTAAATACATCTTGATGAGCTTTACAACTTCTATTAGAAGCTCAAGAGTGATTTAGTTAGTAAAAAAAATTTTAAATAGGAGTGCTGCATATTTATACTTATAGTAAAATTTATATATAACAAAAAATTTTTTGTCTAGGTTTCAGGTGGATTGCCTATAAAGTTAATTTTATAAATTTGTTAATTATCAATATTAAATATATAACTATTTAATAAAAAATGCTCAACATTTTAAAAATAGTATAGTTATATAGTTTCAATTTTATAAGCTAATGTATTGTTTTTATTATAAGTGCTTATTAAATTACAAATTTAATATGAAAATATATTAACATTTGAAATTCTAATTTAGTTACTGATTTTGAATATATTTATAAAAATACAATTATTAAAAATAGGCATTTGGAAGAATTTTTCATTGTTAGAATTAATGTTATACTCTAAAAAATTCATATTTGTAATTTCTTGTAAAGGGGTTCATGAACTTAAATTGTTATTATTGTCATTACCATTTGTCTCCGTAATATTGATTAGAGTATTTATAATATGAAGTTGTTGATCTTATTAATCTGCTTGTAAGCACGAATTTCTTGAATGCTTTTATATCCTGTAAGTTGTATAATTGCTTGTTTAGGAATATCATGATCTTGTAAACATTGCACAGCAGTTTTTCATCCAGAATAGTTGTAAGTAACTCCATAGAGATATCAATATGTATTATATGTCCAATTTCACATATAAAATTCATTAATTTGTTTTTCTTACATAATTTTTTTATATCAAATGCCTGATTCCACTCAGTCAGCACTTGGTTGTAGATAAAATTGCAAATTAGCAACAGAAGGTCATTTTGACAAATAAAATTTTATATCATTACAAGGTTTAGAAGTATCTATTGAAATTGAAATAGTTTGTGCTTAACCTTTTTGAAGTCTATGCAGATTATTTTTTGAAGTATAACAAACAATCTGTATACTGCCATTTCTATCAATTTTAAACTGATTAATTTTAAATTAATAATGTTTACCACTATGCATCACAAGAAAAATTGATAAATGCATAAAAATATGATATAATAAATTTGTTGGATTACTACGATCTATTTCTGGATGTTGTTTATAGAATAACTTTCTTATAATTGGTTAATCAAATTAAGATAAGCATGTGATATGCATGTAATATCAACCAATCAAATATATAAAATTTGATCATCATTTAATTTATTCTTTTATTATATCAATTATATTATATAGTATATTTAAAAAAAAATTACAATTCATTGAACTTTAGTAATAAACTGTTAAGATCGCTAGTTTTTTCGTGATTAATAGCAATTTCTTCATCCTCTTCTTCGGTTTGTTTTTTTTTTGATTTATTTTCAGAGCCTTTATTCTTTTTATACTCTTTTTTTGTTAGATGTTCCAATAGGCTTTTCACATTCTCTTCTATTTCTCTTTTAGATATAACAAACAAGGCAGACATTTCTAATTAATTTCTTCTAAATATTCCATATAATACTCGTAGCTGCATGCTAATAGTCTGAAGTCTAAAGTCAAGTAGTAAGTAGATGTATTTACATTAGTTCTCTTGCAAAACAAGTAATCACATGAATTAAATTTGCTAGATTTGTGTGGTGTATTAAAACCTAAGGGAAGATATTGAGTATAGGCAATGATTTCTATAGCTGTTATTAATATTTTGGTGTTGTCTGAAATTTTTTTCTTCTTATTGTTAAGTAGTGCTACTGGTTCTTGTACAGTTATACCCATAATATCATCTGTAATAATTCAAAAATAAATATTAATAAAGCATTTTAACAAAAAGCATGTTGCTTTTTGTGTACAATTAGTAAAGTCTCAGTGATTCAAAGGATATTTTTTCCACGTTGATTGATATTCAAATAGCTCACTAAGATGGTTTTCATACTGAAGATAATTAATAAAATGTGCTTGACATTATAAATGTTCTGCTTCATCATGCTTTTGAGTAGTTTGTCATAGAAGGCTGTGAAATATTTCAACAGAAGTGTCAGAAAACTTTGGCAAATGATTTTTTATAATGTCTAAAATTGAATGGTTAATACTGGCTCAATAAAAAATATCTGACAAAAACATTAAAGGCACTTTATTATAATTGTGATGATTAAATCATAAAAAAAGAGTCCAAACCCTTATGACAGATTCTTTATAATTCTGCCATTCACCTGTATAAAAAAAAAAAAGAAAAAAGAAAAAAGTAAAAAAAAAAGGTGAAAAGAATAAGAAAAAAAAATCTCAAGAAACTA